CATACTAATGAGGATGAACCATTATATAATGCCTCATGCTCTATCAGATATAAAGTCATTCCACGTGACATATTATGGCTGACATGATTTGCCAAAAGGTTTATGAATTATTAATGAGTATTTTAAATATATATATATATATATTTTATATAAAGTTGCCGACATTGGGGCAGGTTGAAAAGCCTTCGAGCGAATATACTGATCTCTTTGAAGTGTTTCTTTTTCGCGTAATTCGGGCCAAAACTCGGACTGGTGATAGAATACTGACAAGACACTGGAGCCCAAAATACAGTATATCATGTACAAACGGAGAGTCTCATATCTTGTAGCAAAGTCTGCCAAAAAACTGTCAATAGGTTGTCTTCGCACTGGTTGTCCCAAGTTGTCAACAAGTATGGAACAACTTGTAACAACCTTGTTGATATTATCAGACTTGTTGCAAGGTTGTTCCAACAAATCCGATAAACAGTCATGATATAACAATATATCATGACTGCATGTATAATGCTATCAAACTTGTTAACAGCTGGTTCAAAACTTGCTACAACAACTGGGAACAAGCAGTGCGAACACAACATATATGCATGTCAAGGGAACACATTTAAAGATGCGGTACAGTCCATTTGCACGGTTCCAGCTTTGTTTAGGTTTGTGCATCCAAATGATGAATTTTATAAAAGAAGATATATGTTGCTGCTTCAGAGTAAAACAAATGATCAAGGTAGCACCATCACGCTTTATTTTAGACTAATGTACGCATGCACAAAACGGACCGTACCTCATCTTCAATCTGTGCAAAAGTTAATAAATTTTATTAAAATGATAATAATTACGCTATCTTCACTCTCAGATTATAGTCACACGTGTTGTCAGAACAATTCAGAACAAGCGTAGCCTGGAAATAATCACAAAAACACGAGTTAAAAGAAGCGGTAGTCGAACCTCTCCAGTCTCGGGGTGACCGCATGAGTAAAAGGGTATATTTATAAGGTAGTAACTCCAAACGAAGGGCCTTCGCTCGAAACGTCGAAATTCTCCTCATATTTTTCAGGTAGTCGCATCCCTACCAACGAAAGCTTGTTCATATATTTATAAAAACATGTAATATTGTGTTGTCAATACGGGCTCACTGCACGAACAGGGAGATATCTTTATATTGTATTGTCTGTTGGACATTTGCTGTTGACATTTTTAGTTAATCCAGTTTAAATTTATTCCTAAACGTTCGTTTATTGTAAGTTTACTTTAATATTAAAAGCTACAAATTACGAAACTTGTGTAGATAAAAATATTGATAGAGGTATCTTTATAAGGACATGTATTGTTTTGGGGACAAAAAAGTGAGTCTATTATTAAAGACGTAAGGCGTGGTTTCAGTGCATGCAAAAGTTTGCGGACGATAACTGCCATCCAGACATAGCATACCTTTTGACTGACCGATAGGTCTTTACTTTGGTCAAGCACTGGACACAAAACCGTCTTCTCACATTCTGGTGGCGAAATCAGTTCGTACTTCAAATTAAAAACGATGTCCGTCGTTCCCCGGCTTAGGGCGTCCGTCAACCTGTTCTTGTCCTGGAACAAGAATACAACATGTCAATGGCCATCTGCCATTATATTGGCGGAACGAGCGACCTACTCGAATCACATGAACAATAAACCCTTCTGAAAAGTACCACGCCTTGGCTATAGAGCCTCGTTTTTGGGATTGAGATATCGGCTTTAGAGACCTTTATCTTGTTACTGATTACCAAATTTTATAAAGGTCTTTTATATTATTTAATATAACTGTTTGATTTCATAAATGTGTCCATCTGTAACAAGATACAGGACTTTAAACCCAGTAACTCAAATCATGAAAACAAGGCTCTATAGGCAAGGCTGACTACTTTCAGGAAAGGTGTACTCGACGTGCAATACGCCAAGAAACTTGAATGTAGTTCAACTTTCATAGCGTGTCCACAAGCACCAGAGCGGACTGAAATCCCTCACACTTGACATCTAAAGCGCATGCTCAAACTGCTTCGCTCAGCCTGAAAAGTCAAAGCCACCTTCATGGAAAACGGCCTCGACTTAAGCTAATATTAATCAAACGAAAATAATTACGAATCAGTATGTTTAACTATTTCATTCAGCAACGGAAGAGATATTCATGATTTAATGTTATACATCGTAACAAAGACAGGTGCAAACAACATCTTCAAAAGTTACTGTCCCTGTTGAAATACCGCTTTCCTCTACAAACGTAAAATCTCACAACTTGTCAACAAGATGTGCTCGCAACAGCCTTGTAGCAAGCTTGTCAACAATTTGTAACAATGCTGTTATTTTATCAAGTTGCTACAAGATCGTCACTCACAACTTGTTGACAAATTGTTGAATTGCAGGACGATAACAAGTTGTTGGAACAAGTTGTTGGAACAACTTGTAACATGTCGCATGTTGGGCTCAACAACCTTGTAGCAAGTTGTCAACAAGTCTTTAACAACTTGTCAAGCATTGCTACAAGTCTGCTGCAGATTTGTTAAAACTTGTGCGTTTTTACGTGTGTATTTGTTAAAAACCATACGAGGTTTTCAGTCTGTGTTGGAGGGCAGCACATGTTTCAGGAATGTTGACAATTATATCGGAGCAGTTAATACTAAACTACATCTCTCAATTCTATGGATTAAAATTGGCGGCCAAATACAAGAATATTGGGTATAATGAAAAGCATTTTGATAACTGTTAGTAGTTGACCGTGCTGCACGAAAATATTAAGAGAACACCTGTAAATCACGCATGCGCTCATACCTCTACGTGAATCTGGGAGAAATTCACACACGTGGTTGCGTTCTTGCTAGTAAGATTGAACGTAGCTGTAGTTTCATATACTTTGTTGCTACCGTCAGGAAGAAACACGCGTTTAAATCCTCTTGCAGTTGTTTCCGCATCCAATTGAAACGTATATTTTATTTCTATAAAAAAATGAAAGTTTAGTTTGCCCCGTTTTCCTATAAGGAAAGATTTATTACTATAATGTTTAAAATAAGGCAATACAAATTTTCACTAGAAATATCCCTATCAAGTAATATCGAAAAATATCGATATCCTATGCGCAAGACGTTTTGTAATCAATCCTATTTAGTTTTCCAGGGGTTTTCATGGTTTACTTTGAAATTGCAGTTTTCAAGGTTATTCAAGGAGTTTCCAGGATTTCCAGAGGTCGTACGAAGTCGGAAAGAATCTGAAAAAAGTTTTCTCACCGTGTCGTCCTGAAACGCTCTTGCCAATGTATGAAAAGCACACTTTAACGTCCAAACTAATAAAAAATAAATGGTACGACTTAAACTACCACGACGTCGTATATGAGTGTTCTACTATGATGGTGGAAAAATAGCCCTAGTATCCTTGACCAGTCATAAAGTAACTGCTAGGGTGGGCTGGAGTGATTTGGGATGGGCCATGGAAAATCTTTGGGCAGTTGCGATGGGCCGCCAATTTTTTTGTATGTCCACGGTTGGGCCACCAAACAAAAACCCATGCATGTCTACTTCATAAAGATAATAATAATAAAGGTAAACGTCAAAACTATCCAAATTATCAAATGCAAATGATGCTATTGAAGCCAGTACTTTGTTTATACAACAAGAAGTGGTCGATCGAATCACAGCAAATACAATCAACTGGAGAGCAGCTCAGTATCAATGGGTTAGTCAAGCTGGTGGAATTATGTGCGTCAATACAGTGCCGTGTATATTTACAATGTTCATACCTGCAAGTTTTTTTTATTATAAATTGTATTTTCCCAATTTAGATTGGGTGAGTCATGAAATTTTTTTTGTAAGATTAGATGGACTTTGAAATTTTTATCTACATCCTAAGATGGGTAACCAAACTTATTGGCAAAAATTGTGATTTACCTCCAGCCCACCCTAGCAGTTACTTTATAACCAGTCCCTAATGTCCTGTGAATGGACTAATCCCATATTTATCAAAATTTTGTTCTCAACAAGTCTAGACAGAATTCCATCACAGCATGAAAGAGCATCACAAAATTAGTAATATTCCAAAGTTTCGTTGCGAAATGTTGTAAAATGCGGATAATATAGCCTTGCGAAATTTGCAATTTTCAGTCATTTTGTTTCATCGAGCGGGAAACATTTAGCAACGAAACTTTGGAATATTACTAATTTTGTGATGCTCTTTCATGCTGTGGTGGAATTTTGTCTAGACTTGTTCAGTTCAAAATTTTGGTTAATGTGGGATTGGTCCATTACGATTGTAGTAGCACTAAGCTACCGAAATTCATGATGCTGAATGGAAAGTATGATAACAAGGGTGCAATGTATACATGTATGTACAGCCTGGTACAAGTTTTTTTTCAGCCAAGTATACCACGTAGGTACGAGGAAATCTTGCTATCTGCGTATTTACTTTTTGCTTGTAGCATATCAGCATATATCACCTTTCCAAGCTCAAGGTATTCAAAACCGTAATTAATTGATTAATTTGGTATATGTTTAAGTTTGAGATGCCTTGGCTGAAATAAGATTGAACTGATGGGACTATGGAATGTTGTAGTCGGTTGTAGTGTTTGTATTTTGCAATTGTGCTCCTTATTCTAACTCATAGTTTCACTTTCAGGATATTGAATGAAACCTGCACTTTAAAGACAAAGTATAGACCAATTCGAAAAATGGTTGTCATTCTTTTTTTTCCAAAATTAATTTCAACCAGGGTAATCACTGCTGCCTTATAGAATACATGAAGCAGTTTCACTAAGTATAAATATAATATCACGCATGTACTGTCTTTGAGAAATGTAATGTTAAAAATACCGGAGTTTCTGCTAGATCTAGCAAACAAGTCTGACTAGCCTCGTTTTGGTGCTTCTTGGGCATTTCAAAGGACTGTAATTTCACTTGCATGAATTAAGTTATACCAGCTCGGCAATATAGAGGTTCAGATCTGACTTCCGTTATCATTAAGCGACCATTAACCAATCAGATGCATTTGATTAATCAGGGTGCAATAATTCAATATTTTTAGCCGTACCTGACTGGTACTCCAACAATTTTTGCCGAGTACTTGAGCTGGTACGAACTTAAAAGTCAAGGTGTACCTAAGGCTACTTCCGAGTCTTGCGTTTTACACATACGTATAGCATGCACGGTCTTTGACGGGAAAAATTAAACCTTTCTCAATGTTATATATTTAATAAATACGTTTATACTAGTACGCAATATATCACACATAAAACTATATTCTCCACATTTATTCATTTAGTTAGTGCA